TTTCACCTATTGTTTTCTCAGTAAATTTCAGACGGCATTTGCTTTCATTTATGACATATTGACCTGAACCTCTGAAGTTAAATATGCAACTATATCTATGGTCACCACGTTTTGTAACAAAAGCCACATGGATTACGGAATTAAGTTTTTCATTAAGTTTGTCATGTGGAATAGTTGTGTACAAAGTTGAAAAATCAAATGGTTTAACAGAATTGAAACTTGTTCTTTGTTTTTTTTGTAAAAAGTCAAGCAAATCCTTTGACAGTTTCAGAATCCACATGAGATTAATTCCACTTGTCTCAAATACTACAGAAAGTCCTTCCGTGATTGTATTTAGGATTATGGTTAATCTTTGAGACAGGGATTTGTTGGTACATTTGCTACATCGAGCTTTAGATCTCTCTTTGTATGGATTTGTATGGAGCTTCGGAATCCTGTACAAGAGAGGAATGGACAAGTCTTCAGGCATTAGAGTCAAGTTAAAAGTTGATAGAACTCATGCAGGTTTTGGGCAGATTTCTACCTCAGTTAACAAACTGGCAGTATATATGGCATTATTTGGCATGTCACTTATAGCAAGGCCTTTGGTCAACCAACTAGTGTAGTGATGCTCAGGGTAGAATAGGTCTTCAGCAACCCATGCTTGCCGTAAAAGACGACTATGCTTGTCGTAAGAGACGACTAATGGGATCAGGTGGTCAGGCTCGCTGACTTGGTTGATGCATGTCATCGTATTCCAATTACTTGGATCGATGCTGATGATGTCAATCACTGGATTGTGGTCCAGGCTCGATTATTTACAGACCGCCTTCATACAGCTGGAATATAGTGTAGTATATGTCTAGTGTTAGTGTTAGTGTCGGACAGTGTAGTATATGTCTAGTGTTAGTGTTAGTGTCGGACAGTGTAGTATATGTCTAGTGTTAGTGTCGGACAGTGTAGTATATGTCTAGTGTAAGTGATAGTGTCGGACAGTGTAGTATATGTCTAGTGTTAGTGTTGTTAGTGTCGGACAGTGTAGTATATGTCTAGCGTTGGTGTTGTTAGTGTCGGACAGTGTAGTATATGTCTAGTGTAAGTGATAGTGTCGGACAGTGTAGTATATGTCTAGTGTTAGTGTTGTTAGTGTCGGACAGTGTAGTATATGTCTAGTGTAAGTGATAGTGTCGGACAGTGTAGTATATGTCTAGTGTTAGTGTTGTTAGTGTCGGAAAGTGTAGTATATGTCTAGTGTTAGGGTTGTTAGTGTCGGACAGTGTAATATATGTCTAGCGTTGGTGTTGTTAGTGTCGGACAGTGTAGTATATGTCTAGTGTAAGTGATAGTGTCGGACAGTGTAGTATATGTCTAGTGTTAGTGTTGTTAGTGTCGGACAGTGTAGTATATGTCTAGTGTTAGTGTTGTTAGTGTCGGACAGTGTAGTATATGTCTAGCGTTGGTGTTGTTAGTGTCGGACAGTGTAGTATATGTCTAGTGTAAGTGATAGTGTCGGACAGTGTAGTATATGTCTAGTGTTGGTGTTGTTAGTGTCGGACAGTGTAGTATATGTCTAGTGTTAGTGTCGGACAGTGTGGTATATGTCTAGTGTTATGATCATATCCTAAAAACCTCCATGGTCTAGTGGTAGAACGTCCGCCCGGAGAGCGGAAGGTCGAGGGTTCGAACCCCGGCGCGTCATACCAGAGACGTTAAAAGATGATACTTGTTGTTACCCTGTCTGGGGCTCTGCTTTAAGGGGCTAAAACAAGGACTGGTCGGCTCGGAGTCAGTATACTGTGTCTGAGTGGGGTATTCATGTTAAACTGCGACGTGCTATGTCTCAGTGAGCTAGCACTATAGCCACACACACACACACACACACACACACACGCACGCACGCACGCACGCACACGCACGCACGCACGCGCACACACACACTCACACACACACACATACACACACACACACACACATGTCATGCAAGTCGCTATATAAGTGCAATATTCTTGAACGCGATGTTAAACCCATTTTCACCTCACCGCTCCTTGATCATATCCGAATTATACAATCTTAAATAATACATGTTCAACCATTTGATACGACTGAGACATGTTGACCAATGTGGTTCGTCCATCTGTTTCATCTCAGAAGTCTGCTTTACAAAATCAATATCATGGATTAAACTTATACACCCATAAGCAATTTATTTCTTGATCCTGGCCCAGAAATAATACCAAGATTCATAGGCTAATTTAAACACGCTTTTTGATGGACACATGTGTAAATATTTCATGTGTGTCTTGGGCCAATATTGCCTGTTGAGACATTCTTGGCACCAGTCACACTCTTGGTTCAATAGTCCAGAGTTGAAATTAATGCCCAGTGACTTGAAAATGCGCACTCCTCTCTGGGCCCCGGGGGTTAGCTATTATAGTGATGAAACAGCATATATCATATACCATTGCAACAGCGATAACATTAACTTCCAACAGTCAATTTCCCTTCATGGCCATCAATGTGCCAACAGCTCCCAGATTTTGTGTCTAGATTTCACATCTTATTACGTACAATCGAGCATGCTCTTTTTTTTCGAAGATTTCAAAGATAAACAGCATGCTCATAATTGTCATCCTGTACAATTGTTAGTCAGTTTGCAAGAGACACCACGTGTCATCGTTGTGTAAGTTTTGAGACATTCTTTAACACTCCATCGAGTTTTTCACCATTGAACGCTGAGACGAAAGTGCATTAGTGTTATTGTTTAAGAGTAAAATACAAGAATAACAAAAAAACATTGCCTTGCAGGTAGTACTTAAATCTGACATTATCTCTCCTCACTGAGCATGTTGGCGACGCAGTGATCCCAGTCTACCAACACCAAATAGAAAAGAACGATATTATTTCTTTTAATTGTTTCTGTCAATACTCTCACGACATGGTACAACATCGATATGGCACATACAATGTGTGCCAGGCACGCTTCCTCCCCGAAGTACTTTTCTAAATAAGTGCGAGATAAAGACATTGAATCTGTCAATAACGGTAATAGGGAATTAGTCGGTATACGCCATAACGTTTAGTCTGACAGAACGGGGCCATTGTTCAGACAAAATAGAGCAGAGCGTGAAATTCAAAATGGTGGACACATGCTAAGTTTCCGGTCTGCTGGAGCATACTTCCGGTTGGCGGTGTGCTCGCTGATTTCGTTTAACATTTCGACAATACAATACCAACACAATCGTATGACAAGGAAAGCAGAACGAAACACCACCCGCAGCATCATGTTTCAGTAAGAGGAATAGATTTCTCAAAGACACGGATGAAGGCTATGACGTCATTCGAGGCAACAAACACGAAGTTCTACGAAAGTAGCCGGAAGTGGTCGATCTGTGTGCTTAGTTTCGCGACTTTGTTTAGAGTAACACGATGTAGTTAGGCACATTCGATCTACTCAACTACAAAAGACATTTCACACAGGATGGACCCAGACAATAGTATATGCAAAAGTTCTTTTCCGAGGAATTTGTTTGACGACAAATGAATCTTTATCGAGTCCTATGTAATGGTATATATTCGATCTGCTCTCCCACAAGAAATATTTCACACAGGAAGGACTCAGACAAAAGTATATGCTAAATTAGTTTTCGGAGAAATGTGTATTTGGATATTTGATTTGTCCATCGACCTTCAATATATCCTGTTTCATGTGGCAGAGATGAAATATTTAATGCCCCGTTTAATCCAGGAGTAACATGGCAAAAGAAATGGTTTCTTTTATTGTGGTTCTATATTCCTCAAGATAAAAGGCCATGTTGTAGAAATACATGTGCACTTACATAAAGACGCTTTCAATACACGCTTGCATACCTAGTGTTATGATTACAGGCTTTTTTGATGAAGATAATGTCGTACATGTGATCGTCCAGTGGCATTCCTTGTAGGCATCATTACAAGATCATCATTTCAGATGTGACATTAGTTGGTACCTGCTGCTAATGTTAAAGGTATATATATCCCGCGCGTCTTTTCCCATGATGGCTGATGTAACCGTCTCCGTGGTACAGTGGTTGAACGTTCGCCCGGAGAGCGGAAGGTTCGAGGTTCGAACCCAGGCCGCGTCGTACCAAAAGACGTTAAAAGATGGTACTTGTTGTTACCCTGTCTGGCGCTTGGCATTAAGGGGCTTAACGAAAAGGTGACCGTATCAGGACTGGTCAGCTCTGAGTCAGTTTACTGTGTCTGATTGGGGTATTCATGTTAAACTGCGGCATGGTATCTCAGAGGGCTAGCACTATAAAATCGGCATCAGTCCGGACTAGTACAAGCAGCCACAAACACGCACACGTGCATGCACGTCGCTATAATAATCTTGGACGCGACCGTAAACCCCATTTAACCTCACCTCGCCCATGGCCGATGAAATACGTGTTTATGAATATAACAGAGATACTGTGAAAATTTATTTTTTTTAATTATACGCTGGGGATGCTGGATGTATTGGAATTGAAGTGTTGTACGATTGTACGATTGTACGATTTGATATCTTGAAAGTAATATGAACATTCCCCCTCATCTAAACACACACAGATTCTCCAAGGTCGATCTCTTACCCATTACGTGCATGTCTTACCCCTGAATATGTTGCCATGATACTTGACCTGACTGTAGTTTTAGCTTGCTCAACTGCTGGTCGGAACACAGCATACTTACATACGTACACTGTATACATAAGTTCCGAGCCTACCTGGATGCAGTTCCCTATTTTGACTTGTACAATATGTTCACGTGTTTTGTTCGGGCGAACAATTGACATGTCTTTGCATGTGTTTGTGGTGGATGCACCGGTGGGGTAAGATACGGTCACCTTTTCGTTAACACCTGGTGTCATCACTATTTTAGAGTGATTCATAAACACATATAGTCGGAATCGTGCAATCAAGATTTCAAGCAGACATTTCTAATGATAATGGAAATGGTTTTGTCGTTTTTATTTACATTTCACCACTGCCGTTTTCTTCCAGATTCATCAAACCACTCCCCCGAGCCTGCCTCCTCGCCGTATGAGATTCCTATAGAAAAACTAGAGACACACAGTGATGGCAGCGTCCTCAGGCTCCTCGACAGACTCTGCACGGAGTCCAATGTCCCTGGTTTCAGGAAATGTTTATGGTATGTCATATCTCCCACATCCTCATGGATCTGTGAAGATCCGGGGTAGAATAGGTCTTCAGCAACCCTTGCTTGCCGTAAAAGGCGACTATGCTTGTCGTGGTGGTCAGACTCGGTGACTTGGTTGATGCATGTTATCGTATCCCAATTGCCTGAATCGATACTCATGATGTCAATCACTGGATTGTCTGGTCCAGGCACGATTATTTACAGAACGCCGTCACATAGCTGGAATATTGCTGAGTGCGGCGTTAAACAAACAAACAAAGAAACAAACCTTCTCATGACTTAATTTGGAACGTCAATACATTTGACATATTCGAACTCGTGTACATAAACACTCACGACAAAAGCGATACGGACAATACTACATGTGTATATATTGTTTTTACATCCGCATTTTCTTTCAGTTTTACTCTACCGTCACATGATATAGCCATCCTGGTGATATGGGTCATAATTCTTATTGATCAATAAAAGATAACAAACAAACTTCAACATCTAAAATGGAAAGAAAGTGTAAATAAAAAATCTCATCTTTTCTAAACGTGTACTTTGTGAAGATTATTTAAAGCCTGTATGGCAATGTATTTTATCAGAACCTCAATGACAAGAGTGCAAATTGGCGGTACAAGCTACGGCAAACAAGGTTATGAAAAACTAAGATCTGACACGCGGATCTGCTTTATCTGTCCAGTCGATAACAACAGCTGATGTGGAAGATTTTCGTGATTTATAGTTGCTGGTTATCCTAAGGCAACAAACAAACACTTATTTTTTATAAAACATTGTGTGAGTGGCAGGTAGAGCAGGACACGCTTACCCTTTTCGCACTTGGAGTTATCACCGATTTTTATCATCATTATACTTTTAACGCCCTAGGGGATTGGTTCCGGTTGATAATCCGAGAGCTAATCTAGAGTTCTGTTCTGAAAGACTATTCATGTCGGATTACCGATTAATCAATGATTAATGTCTAAGCGGTCGAACACAGCTAGTCCTTTACAATTAATTCCGTAATGTGAAGAGCTACAGTGCATGCGTCGAGCCGACGTGGCCCATTGACGGCTCCACGTGCAGCCTGTCACACTCTACCTCAGTCCCCTGTTTAATGGAAATAGATTCTTCCGCGGCACGCGTAACGACCACAGCACCAAACCTCGGTGTTCACGCCGCGTTTTTTTTTAGTTTGTTTGACATTAGCGTCATCCAAAACGCTCTGGTGGTTCCATGAGCTGTGACGTCATGTAATGGCGTGGCTGTTCGACGTGTGCATGCGTCAGCAGCCCCTTCATGGCCTGCAGAAGGGGATGGATGTGGCACGATAACAGTAAAAATCACTGATGTAAAGTGTAATGTGTTTAGTGCCAAGCTGTTATTTATCACTATTTCTGCTTTTATGCCTCATGGAAAGAGAAAGCATTACTTGTTTATTGTTTCTCGGCATGGGCTAAACGTATAAATGCTTTTTCTCTCCTTATATTCCGTAGTAAGGAGTTACAGTCTACTGAATCGAGACACTGCATGTTATCCTTACGACTACTTTGAAACACTCGACTGAAAATGGATTGATGGATATGGATGTACACGGTAGTGAGTTGGGTTTTACTCCGCTTTTAGCTATATTCCAGCAATATGACAGCGGTGGACACCCGAAATGGGCTTCATTCTATGGGGGAATTGAACCCGGGCCTTTTGCGTGACGAACGCTATAACCACTAGGCTACCCCACCACCCCCATAATAATAAGAAATATCTGTTGAAAGCACTGTCCTTTGGAGTGAGTGAGTGAGTTTGGTTTTACGCCGCTTTTAGCAATATTCCAGCAATATCACGGCGGGGGACACCAGAAATGGGCTTCACACATTGTACCCATGTCGGGATTCGAACCCGGGTCTTCGGCGTGACGAACGCTTTAACTACTAGGCTACCCGACCGCCCCCAGTCCTTTGGAAGATTCTAACTATCCGTCAGCATGTGTTTATGACTCTCCATCAAACAGTGATAATACCATGTGTTCGCGAAAGACAAATACATGTACATCACATATATTTTTCAGAATAAACAAGAACGATACGTATACATTTCAGAATACACAAAAAAGATGACGTATGCATTTCACAATACACAAAAAAGAAGACAGAGACCGTTTTCAATTCTGCATTCTGTATTAATAGCTTACTCGTTGGCTCGTCACGCCCAAGACCCGGGTTCGATTCCCGACATGGGGACAATGTGTGAAGCCCATTTCCGGTGTCCCCCGCCGTGATATTGTTGGAATATTGCTAAAAGCGGCGTAAAACCATACTCACCCCCTTCTGAAGCAAAGCACTTGCTTGATAGCGGTGTTAGAACCCACACCGAAACGTCGCTCTTAATTGTAATAAAGAAGTTGTTCATCCATAAATCTTATCCTTACTTAGTACTTCAACTTTTAAATGCAAATCAAAGAAGAAAAAAATGGGTTGATTCTTTGAAGATACAAACGTTTAAAGACACAACTTCCAATTCTTTACAAATAAATAATTCTTTATTATTTTATTTCTTTATAGTTCCTGAAGCAAAGCGGGTACCGTTGTTCCAGCTTGAGTTCAAAATGGTTTTGAATTAGCCATTAAAGACTGTATTCCATAAAGTCAAAAGTACAGTAAACTACGGTTATAACGAACACGCTTATAACGAACTGACGGATATAACGAACTTACTTTTTTGGTCCCGACTATTTGCTGTAGTTATGCTGTATATATGCTTATAACGAACTACGGTTATAACGAACTAAAATTAGTAGTCCCTTTGAGTTCGTTATAACCGTAGTTTACTGTAGTTCCAACTGAAAGGTTTATTCTACTATTGTCTTTCGCGTGTCATTTCCACAAAAAAAGAGACATAACCCACGTAGATGAAAACCATTCTTCACGGTCTCCTCTGTGGCACTTTAAAGAATATGTCGATTGATGGCTTCACACCATCACCAGATCCCATGTCGCTTTGGCATCTCGTTTAAGATGGACGTACCAATGAACTTCAAATGTCAAGCGCTCAATATGGAATGCGTCGTCGTGTTTTAAACTTCATATTTGTCTACAGGCTTATCTTGGGCTGATCACATTGGCGTAGACGGGAGAGTATCGAGGGAGCATCGTAATGACCAAATTACATTACAAGTCCAAATACGATAGTTTTCATATTCAGTCACCGGTCCAGGGAGCATTCCTTGCCTCAGTAGTTCCAAACAGCCGGATTATATACGACGTGTTATGAATAATAAGTCATCCCTTGTGTGTATGAAAACGTGCTGACACACATACCAATATGCTCATCCTGTCCTTCATAGTCCAACAGATTTATGCCGACTAACGATGTGGGTGACAATTAAATAATGACTGCTCCCTTGGGAGCGATGGCGTCTTCCTTTGAGATGCGATATTAGTCTTCTGTCAACGTTTACATCGTTCTCTTGTCAACTACATCTCCGTCAATATTCACGTTTGACCATTTGATGCTCATCGGATTCACGTAATTCTATTTGGACAACTGCGGAACATTTACTTATTAAATCCCGAGCAAACAGCGCTATGGGATGTCTAACCAGATAACATGTTGGGTCAAGGGAAACTATCAACCTTTGTAGAATATTGAGATTATTCCTTAATGAATCTGCAACTGAGGTGAAAGATTACAAAGTTTGTTGAGACATTCAGTATTTGATTCTAATAGCAAAACACCTTCAAGGGCGCGAACGCTTTGAATACTGCTAACCGTTCTCAGTGAGACTTTGACGCAAAGGTGTTGCCTGGATTTGTCGTATTCATTACTTAATTTTTAAATATTTTAATATCCGGTCTCTGGAATTACATCGTACAAAAACAGAGTGGGTGGTTGTTGTAGAGATTGTTGTAGAGGCTGTTGAGAGTAGAGTTGATTAACATGTCGCGGTTAAAATTCTTAATTCTGAATATTTTATGATGTGGTTTCTTTGCAACCGCGTACAAAGTATTCTTACACACCAAGAGTAGATGCATCGTTTCTGAAGTAAGAAAATATTTCTCTTTAGAACAGTCTCATACACTTTCTTTACATATTGTTGATATATTCATTTTTTTATATGTGAAAATAAATTCATATAAAAACACCTTAAGAATGGAATCATAGAATGTCGTTCATGCTTGGTCAAGCACACTTGCCATTTAAGCAGTTTGGGTTAGGGTATGGCTTGCGAATTCATTGCACCTACAATTCAGATTTACCATTGCACATCAATTATTGTAAAATGATTCTGAGTGTGTACTGTCATCTGATTGGTTGATAAACATTGGTAAATGGCACTGGACTTTTCACTGTGTATGAATATTTTTCTTCACGGGCATATTTGTTTCCTCCATCCCCAATTTTAAAGAAACCCATGCCATTTATCTTTGGGAAACGGATACCACATTGAGAACACTTTAGGCACGATCAATCCCCATCAGCACACTTTCGATTGAGTTGCTTTTTTTACCATTCTGTTTACCAAATCTGTTTGAGCATTCGATGCCCGGAAATTTAAAGTTTGAAACCTCTTGCTAACGCCGTCGGTGCCAAATACAATTATGTTTATAACCTAAATACACAATTCGCCGCGAATAGCTGCAAGCTTGCTGATGCGGCGTTAAGCAATAATGACTCAGTCACGCCCTGAATACACATACTCATTCCCGCAATTGTCACTCTTTAAAATCTACAATGTTCTCATTTGTTTTCCAGGAACAAACGCAAGTAAGACGCTGAGTCATCAACCATAGCTGCGACCGGAAGGGAAAGACCCGTTGTTTCATACCATCACAAGCTCTACCCTAATAATGACGTAGTTATGACGTAGACATGACGTCATCCGTACGAGATGTTCACGTCACTCCTCTCTGACAGTCACATTCATGAAGTGTATTCAGACTCGAATGATTCTTCAAAGACACTTTATCTCTGCTGTTGTCATTTTGTGATAAGATTTGTATCTCAGGAGAAACTGCACCTAACAGACCGAGATAGTCCATTAAATGTGTTACTATATATAAGTCGTAAGTCAAAGATATATCTAATGTCCATATCCGAATGCTGAAAAACTTCTTGTGTACTGGCATGTAGTGTTAACATTGGGTGATGGTAAATACACCATGCACAAGACATAGGCCATACCCACCACAAAGTGCTTCACTCAGTAAAGGAACCGGTGATTTCTTTAAGGAAATGGTTTTGGAACTGAAGTGCATTATTTGACTGCTACCGATGTTAGATTCTGACCCCATAAGATTTCAATGGAATTTTCATAAATGAATGAATTATTACAGATGTGACCATAATTGCCACACGTACTTTTTCCGCGAGATTAACGCTACATGCCACTACCACGCCATTACCAATTGCCCAGCCAGGTTTTGCTCGGATATGTTGCTCTGTTGACGGTAACCAGATGTGTCCATGTGATCAAATGGCCGCCTCTATTTCACAGTGTTCTGTTGCAAAGACAATAAACATGTGATGGATGATTATGCGTTTCTTCAAATATCATTTGCCTGCGGCTGTGAGTGAGATCAGGGAAATGTGGACACTGTGTGATAAAGAGGGCGTCTTGCAGTCAGTACTATCATCCTTTTTACCACAGTACCCAGTAGCCAGCAATATCATAGTTATACTACAGTACCCAGTAGCCAGCAATATCATAGTTATACCACAGTACCCAGTAGCCAGCAATATCATAGTTATACCACAGTACCCAGTAGCCAGCAATATCATAGTTATACTACAGTATCCAGTAGCCAGCAATATCATAGTTATACTACAGTATCCAGTAGTCAGCAATAGCATAGTTATACCACAGTACCAAGTAGCCAGCATTATCATAGTTATACTACAGTATCCAATACCCAGCACTATCATAGTTATATTACAGTATCCAATACCCAGCACTATCATAGTTATACTACAGTATGCAGTAGCCAGCAATATCATAGTTATACTACAGTCTCCAGTAGCCAGCACTATCATAGTTATACTACAATAACCGGGTTGTAGTAAGCATTGTCAAACATACGCAACATCGACGTGATCTCAACAATGTCATACCTACACGGGAGCGGGGTGTAGCTGACACTGTCATACTTACACGGGAGTGGGATGCAGCTGACACTGTCATACTTACACGGGAGTCGGGTGCAGCTGACACTGTCATACTTACACGGGAGTGGGATGCAGCTGACACTGTCATACTTACACGGGAGTGGGGTGTGGCTGACACTCCATACTTACACGGGAGTGGGGTGTAGCTGACACTGTCATACCTACACGGGAGCGGGGTGTAGCTGACACTGTCATACCTACACGACATTAACCTGTAGTCTACACTGTCATACCTACATGGGAGTGGGATGCAGCTGACACTGTCATACTTACACGGGAGTGGGGTGCAGCTGACACTGTCATACCTACACGGGAGAGGGGTGCAGCTGACACTGTCATATCTACACAGGAGTGGGGTATAGCTGCCACTGTCATACCTACACGGGAGTGGGGTGTGGCTGACACTGCCATACCTACGAGGGAGTGGGGTGTAGCTGACACTGTCATACCTACACGGGAGTGGGGTGTGGCTGACACTGTCATACCTACAGGGGAGCGGGGTGTAGCTGACACTGTCATACTTACACGGGAGTGGGGTGTGGCTGACACTGTCATACCTACAGGGGAGCGGGGTGTAGCTGACACTGTCATACCTACACAGGAGCGGGGTGTTGCTGACACTGTCATACCTACACGGGAGTGGGGTGTGGCTGACACTGTCATACCTACAGGGGAGCGGGGTGTAGCTGACGCTGTCATACCTACACGGGAGTGGGGTGTAGCTGACACTGTCATACCTACACGGGAGTGGGGTGTAGCTGACACTGTCAAACCTACACGGGAGTGGGGTGTAGCTGACACTGTCATACCTACATGGGAGTGGGGTGTAGCTGACACTGTCATACCTACACGGGAGTGGGGTGTAGCTGACACTGTCATACATACACGGGAGTGGGGTGTAGCTGACACTGTCATACATACACGGAAGGTGGGTGTAGCTGACACTGTCATACCTACACGGAAGTGGGGTGTAGCTGACAGTGTCATACCTACACAGGAGTGGGGTGTAGCTGACACTGTCATACCTACACAGGAGTGGGGTGTAGCTTACACTGTCATACTTACACGGGAGTGGGGTGTAGCTGACACTGTCATACCTACACAGGAGTGGGGTGTAGCTGACACGGTCATACTTACACGGGAGTGGGGTGTAGCTGACACTGTCATACCTACACAGGAGTGGGGTGTAGCTGACACTGTCATACTTACACAGGAGTGGGGTGTAGCTGACACTGTCATACCTACACAGGAGTGGGGTGTAGCTGACACTGTCATACTTACACAGGAGTGGGTGTAGCTGACACTGTCATACCTACACAGGAGTGGGGTGTAGCTGACACTGTCACACCTACACAGGAGTGGGGTGTAGCTGACATTGTCATACTTACACGGGAGTGGGGTGTAGCTGACACTGTCATACCTACACGGGAGCAGGGTGTTGCTGACACTGTCATATCTACACGGGAGTTGGGTGTAGCTGACACTGTCATACCTACACGGGAGCAGGGTGTTGCTGACACTGTCATATCTACACAGGAGTGGGTTGTAGCTGACACTGTCATACCTATACAGGAGTTGGGTGTAGCTGACACTGTCATACCTACACGGGAGTGGGGTGCAGCTGACACTGTCATACCTACACGGAAGTGGTGTGTAGCTGACACTGTCATACCTACATGGGAGTGGGGTGTAGCTGACACTGTCATACCTACACGGGAGCAGGGTGTAGCTGACACTGTCATACCTACATGGGAGTGGGGTGTAGCTGACACTGTCATACCTACACGGGAGCGGGGTGTAGCTGACACTGTCATACCTACACGGGAGTGGGGTGTAGCTGACACTGTCATACTTACATGGGAGCGGGGTGTAGCTGACACTGTCATACCTACACGGGAGTGGGGTGTAGCTGACACTGTCATACCTACATGGGAGTGGGGGTAGCTGACACTGTCATACCTACATGGGAGTGGGGTGTAGCTGACACTGTCATACCTACACGGGAGTGGGGTGTAGCTGACACTGTCATACCTACACAGGAGTGGGGTGTAGCTGACACTGTCATACCTACACAGGAGTGGGGTGTAGCTGACACTGTCATACCTACACAGGAGTGGGGTGTAGCTGACACTGTCATACCTACACAGGAGTGGGGTGTAGCTGACACTGTCATACCTACACGGGAGTGGGGTGTAGCTGACACTGTCATACCTACACAGGAGTGGGGTGTAGCTGACACTGTCACACCTACACAGGAGTGGGGTGTAGCTGACACTGTCATACTTACACGGGAGTGGGGTGTAGCTGACACTGTCATACCTACACGGGAGTGGGGTGTAGCTGACACTGTCATACCTACACAGGAGTGGGGTGTAGCTGACACTGTCATACCTACACAGGAGTGGGGTGTAGCTGACACTGTCATACCTACACGGGAGTGGGGTGTAGCTGACACTGTCATACCTACACAGGAGTGGGGTGTAGCTGACACTGTCACACCTACACAGGAGTGGGGTGTAGCTGACGCTGTCATTCCTACACAGGAGTGGGGTGTAGCTGACACGGTCATACTTACACGGGAGTGGGGTGTAGCTGACACTGTCATACCTACACAGGAGTGGGGTGTAGTTGACACTGTCATACCTATACAGGAGTTGGGTGTAGCTGACACTGTCATACCTACACGGGAGTGGGGTGTAGCTGACACTGTCATACCTACACGGAAGTGGTGTGTAGCTGACACTGTCATACCTACACGGAAGTTGGGTGTAGCTGACACTGTCATACTTACACGGGAGTGGGGTGTAGCTGACACTGTCATTCCTACACGGAAGTGGGGTGTAGCTGACACTGTCATACCTACACGGGAGTTGGGTGTAGCTGACACTGCCATACTTACACGGGAGTGGGGTGTAGCTGACACTGTCATACCTACACGGAAGTGGGGTGTAGCTGACACTGTCATACCTACACGGGAGTTGGGTGTAGCTGACACTGTCATACTTACACGGGAGCGGGGTGTAGCTGACACTGTCATACCTACATGGGAGTAGGGTGTAGCTGACACTGTCATACTTACACGGGAGTGGGGTGTAGCTGACACTGTCATACCTACACGGGAGTGGGGTGTAGCTGACACTGTCATACCTACATGGGAGCGGGGTGCAGCTGACACTGTCATATCTACACGGGAGTGGGGTGCAGCTGACACTGTCATACCTACACGGGAGCGGGGTGTAGTTGACACAGCCATACTTACACGGGAGTGGGGTGTAGCTGACACTGTCATACCTACACGGAAGTGGGGTGTAGCTGACACAGCCATACTTAGACGGGAGTGGGGTGTAGCTGACACTGTCATACCTACACGGAAGTGGGGTGTAGCTGACACAGCCATACTTACACGGGAGTGGGGTGTTGCCGACACTGTCATACCTACACGGGAGTGGGGTGTAGCTGACACTGTCATACCTACATGGGAGCGGGGTGCAGCTGACACTGTCATATCTACACGGGAGTGGGGTGCAGCTGACACTGTCATACCTACACGGGAGCGGGGTGTAGTTGACACAGCCATACTTACACGGGAGTGGGGTGTAGCTGACACTGTCATACCTACACGGAAGTGGGGTGTAGCTGACACAGCCATACTTAGACGGGAGTGGGGTGTAGCTGACACTGTCATACCTACACGGAAGTGGGGTGTAGCTGACACTGTCATACCTACACGGGAGTGGGTGTTGCTGACACTGTCATACCTACACGGGAGTGGGTGTTGCTGACACAGCCATACTTACACGGGAGTGGGGTGTTGCTGACACTGTCATACCTACACGGGAGTTGGTTGTAGCTGACACTGTCATTACATACACGGCATCAACCTGTAGTCTACACTCTCATACCTACACGGGAGTGGGGTGTTGCTGACACTGTCATACCTACACGGGAGCGGGGTGTAGCTGACACTGTCATACCTACACGGGAGTGGGGTGTTGCTGACACTGTCATACCTACACGGGAGTGGGGTGTTGCTGACACTGTCATACCTACACGGGAGTGGGGTGTTGCTGACACTGTCATACCTACACGGGAGTGGGGTGTTGCTGACACTGTCATACCTACACGGGAGTGGGGTGTTGCTGACATTGTCATACCTACACGGGAGTGGGGTGTAGCTGACACTGTCATACTTACACGGGAGTGGGTGCAGCTGACACTGTCACACCTACACGGGAGTGGGGTGTAGCTGACACTGTCATACTTACACGGGAGTGGGTGCAGCTGACACTGTCACACCTACACAGGAGTGGGGTGTAGCTGACGCTGTCATTCCTACACAGGAGTGGGGTGTAGCTGACACTGTCATACT